GTGCTATGATCAGTATTATGGTTGTTAGAAGCATTCATAGTAAATTTCTTCATGTTCTCACACTATTGAAAATAGGATTCGTATTCGGAGTCGTGATCGAGGATGTATTATTCGATGCACTACTACTGGTGACAAACATACATGTGTTAGTTTTAGCGTCAGTATAGATACTAGGAGGAAATAGTATTGTAAGTTGTAGTAGTAGCAGTAACAGCAGTAGTCGTAATAGTACTAGTAGTAGTAGTAGTAGTAGTAGCAGCAGTAGTAGTAGTAGTAGTAGTCGTAGTAGTAGTAGTAGTAGTAGTAGTAGTAGTAGTAGTAGTAGTGAGAGTATTGCTACTTCATGGTTAGTACGATTAACAATATAATTCGTCTTCGTTCTCGCTTTCGTCCTCGTATTAACCCTACTCGTAGCATCCGTCTTCATAATATGCATCGTACTATTGTTACGACTGCTTACGATTCGTGGAATTAGCCTTCGCAGTATGATTCGTCAGCTTCGGCATCTCATCATGGTTATTACATGCTTGTTCGTATGATCATTCGCCTTATGGTTATTATCCTGTTTATGTGGACTAGAAAAATTGTCGTATCACTCGTATGACTATGTGCGTTATAGCGTGCATCATTATTCGTATCAGTATTCCTCTTCTTCTTACTAAGAAATATATCATAAGCTTGCATCGTGTTATTATGTTTCGCAATTCCAATATGCAAGGCCATCTTCCTGCTACGAACGCTCGCGCAGAGCATGCTCTCGAAGCCCACGGGCATTAATGTGCGCGTACGTCTTTTTGCTCGCTCCTGACTCGAGGGGGCCAGATCCCCGTCGTCGGTATGTTTCGCAAGATGGAGGTCTCCACTCCTTCGTTGGGCCAGTGCACATCGTTCGGAAGATGTTGGTAGAATCAACAAGCAGAAGGGCATTGTTCAAATTGGAAGGAGTCGAAAGTATATTGGGATCAAAGAATCATGAAAAAACATATTTTCAACCAACGATGTGTATTCTCTTCCGAGTGCTCGCTTTGACGACCTCAGGGGCCTGGCAGGGCACCCCCCCACCCCTGAGGCCGTGAACGACCTCTCGTCGTGTACTTAGGGGAACGAAGAATGACACAAACATAAAAACTCGGAGGTCCGCGCGGATTTCGCGGATCGGCGCTGGACCCCCCTCCCTGGCGCGCGGAGCGCGCCGGGGGCGGCGTGAGAGGCGCCGTCAGGGGGTTCCAGCGCGGATCCGAGACATCCGCGCGGACCTTCGAGTGTCTATGTTTATGTCATTCTTCGGTCCCCTGTGTTTTTGGCACGACGCGGTGGGGGCAGGAGTCCCATGCCAACAAGGCCCGACACGCCCGGAGCATCTCATGGGCCGCGCCCCAGCCCTCCGGCCAGAGTCGCCGGGCGGACCCAGTCGTGGCGACGAGGGGCTTCCCGGGAGGCCCAGGAATGCAGCGGAGGCCAGTCCACCAGGAACCCTTCACAAGAAGCCCAACCCTGAGACCCCAGGACGTCCATCGATCTTTAGCGTGGGAGCTTCACGCTTCCCATCGCACAAACCGCCGAAACCCAAGACACCCAAGGCACCCTGGAGGCAAGCAGGGTGTTTCTTGGCATGGGCCTCCTCTGTAGGCAAGAACGCCCAGAGCATCGAACCTCGAAGTTCAATTGTTCCTCTGGGAAGGCCAGACCCGGACATCGTCTGATATGATGTTTTCGAAACCGCGGCGACAGTGCACCCGGCCCCTCCCCAGGGGGTAGCTGTCCGTCCCAGATCCATTTTGCATGGCCCCGAGGCCCGATACCATTCCCTACAGCCCGACAGTTATGTAATAGGTTATCCTGGCCAGGACCCAACCATTGTCTTCGGTGGAGCACCCTGTGGGGCCACAAACCGCGTGAGGAATGTACCGAAATGGGCGCGTCGGGCGCATGCGAACGCAGCCACTGGGGTCTTCGGTGGAGCTCCCTACGAGGCCGCGAAACGTGTAAGGGGTGTACCGACATGGGCACGGCGGACGCATGCGAACGCAGCCACTGGGGCCTTCCGTGGAGCTCCCTATGCGGCCGCGAGATATCTAAGGGACGTACCGAAACGGACTGGGCGGACGCATGGGAACACCGCCACTGGAGCCTTCGGTGGCGCTCCATATGGGGCCACGAAACATGTCAGAGGTGTGCCGAGATGGGTGCGGCGGGCGTGGCATGCGAACGCAACCACTGGGGCCGTCAATGGTTCTCCCTATGGGGCCACGAATCGTGTGAGGGGTGTGCCGAGATGGGTGCGGCGGGCGCATGCGAACGCAACCACTGAGGCCTTCGGTTGGGCTCTCTATGGGGCCGCGAACCGTGTGAGGGGTGTGCCCAAATGGGCAGGGCTGGGAGCATGCGGACGCATCCACTGGGGCCTTCGGTGGAGCCCCCTATGGGGCCACGAAACGTGTGAATTGTGCCGAGATGAGTCCGGCGGGCGCATGCGAAAACAATCACGAGGGCCTTCGGTGGCGCTCCCGATGGGGCTGGCGGGCGCATGCGACCGCAACCACTGGGGCCTTCGGTGGAGCTCCCTCTGGGGCCACGCCCGAAGTTGATGCGGGGGGCGCCGTATGCGAACGCAGCCACTGGAGCCTTCGGAGGAGCTCCCTATGAGGCCGCGAAACGTGTGAGGGGTATGCCGACATGGGCACGGCGGGCGCATGCGAACGCAGCAACTGGAGCCTTCGGTGGAGCCCTCTCTGCGGCCGCGAAATGTCTGAGAGATGTGCCCGAATGGGCACGGCTGGACGCATGCGAACCCAGCCACTGGGACTTCCGATGACATTCCCTATGGGGCCACGCAACGTCTGAGGGGTGTGCTGACATGCGTGCGGCCAACGCATGCGAATTCAACCACTGGGGCCGTCGGCGGAGCACCGCATGGGGCCACGAAACTTGGGAGGTGTGTGCCGGAGGGGTGTGCCGACATGGGTGCTGCGGGCGCATGCCAACGTAGCCACTTGGTCCTTCGGTTGCGCTCCCTGTGGGGCCACGAAACGTGTGAGGGGCGTGCCGAGATGGCAGCCGCTTGGCCCTTCGGTGGCACTCCCCATGGGGCCACGAAACGTGTGAGGGGTGTGCCGACATGGGTGCGGCGGGCGCATGCGAACGTAGCCACTGCGGCCTTCGGCGGAGCTCGCCACGGGGCCACGAAAGGTGGGAGGGGTGTACCGAAAGTGTTGACTGGTGCGGAGGGCAGGGGCAGGGATGGGAGGAGGTGACCGCGGTGCGCGAAGCGCAGTCATCTTCGCGCCCCCCGCGGGGAAAGGGATCCCTATCCCCAACGGCGTGGTCGTTTGGCCCCACCTGCCAACTTACCCACCGGGGTGGGGATACATGCCCGTGCCCCTGGAGTCTCGCGAAGCCGGCGTCCACCCACGAGGTCGGGCTGGTGGGGCTGAGATACCACGGCCCAGTGCCCCGAGGCCCGACGTCGCGAAGCAATGGCGCCGTAGAGAAAAACTCACGATGGTCCGCACGGAGTTCTTGGATCGGCGCTGGACCCCCCTGGCGGCGCCTTCGGCGCCACTCGCTTGGCGCGCCCCGCGCGCCAGGAAGGGGGGGGCCAGCGCATAGAAGAGACTCGCGCGGACAGTCGCACATGGCTGCTGATGCAGCTTTTCCTCGAGATAAGGTTGGAGGATCGCGATGAACCGCCATTGCATCGCCGGTACACCAACGATGAGTCGGCGACGTGGCAATCCATCGGCACCATCGGCAAAGAGAAAATCGAACAGCACATCGATCCGCGTTGGCGATGTGTCGTCGATGCGGCGCGATCCTCCGATCCCTTGTACTCGGACCCCACCTAAGAGGCCTGGACAGCCGATCGCGCCCGCCCGACCATCCCGCAAGTCCCGTCGTCGTCGTCGTCGTAGCCATCTGTCGATGTCCATCGTCCGTCGTCCGTCATCGTCGTCGTCGTGGTCCGTAATCGTCGTCCGAAATCGTCGTCCGTCGTTGGCGTCACAATCGTCATCGTCCTCGTCCGTAGTCGTCGTCCGTTATCGTCGACGTCGTCGTCGTGATCGCGGTCGTCGTCGTCCATGCTCGTCGTCGTCGTCACAGTCGTCGTCGGCGTCGTCGCCATCGTCCGTAGTCGTCGTCCGTAGTCGTCGTCGTCGTCGTCGTCGTGGTCGTCGTCGTCGTCGTTTCTATCGTCGTCGTCCTCGTCCGTAATCGTCCGTCGTCATCGTCGTCGTCTGTCGTCTTCGTCGTCGTGCGCAGTCGTCCTAGTCGTCCGTAGTCGTCGTCGTCGTCATCGTCGTCCGTCGTCGTCGTCTTTGAGGTGTCATCGTCGTCGTCAAAATCGTCGTCCAACGTCGTCGCCGTCGTCGAAATCGTCGTCCGTTGTGGCCCGCCTTCGTCCGTAATCGTCCGTAGTCGTTGTCGTTGTCGTCGTCGTGGACGCCCGAAGTCGTCCGTCGTCGTCGGTCATCGTCGTCGTCTTCGTCGTCGTGCTCGTAGTCGTCGCCGTCGTCGAAGTCGTCATCCCTCGTCGCCCGTCGTCATCTGTATTTGTCCGTAAACGTTGCCATCGCCGCCGTCGCCCGTAGTCGCCAGTAGTCGTCCGTAGTCGTCCGTCGTCGTCGTTGTTGTCGGGGTCGTCGTTGTCACCATCGTCGTCAGTCGTCGTCCGTCGTCACCCGTCGTCGTCCGTAGTCGTTGTCATCGTCGTCGTCGTCCGTAGTCGCCCGTGGTCGTCCGCAATCGTCCATCGTCGTCGTCGTCGTCAAGATCGTGGTCGTGGTCGTCGTCGTCAAATTCATGTCCGTCGTCGCCTATCGTCGTCCCTTGTCGTCCGTAAACGTCGTCATCGTCGTCGTCGTTGTCGCCCGTAGTCACCCGTGATCGTCCGTAGTGGTCCGTCGTCGTCGTCGTCGTCATCTTCGTCGTCGTCGTCGTCAAGGTGTCGCCGTCGGTGAGCCGACGCTGACAGATCCGCTGTGCTGTCCCCGATACTTGGCCTGCTGCCCGCGCTGGCGGCGCGTCCGCGTCGCCGGGCCGCGCGGCGTGGGTCCCTGGCGCCTGGCGCGCGAGGCCGCCGCCGAGAAGCCCCCAACGCCACTTGTCCGCCCTGGGCAGGGCGAAGGTCGGGGGTCCCCAACTTGCGTGTTAGCTACAACGCGTGTTTGCCCACCGACTCCCCCTTCACCAGGACAAAAACGGCGTAGAGACTCAGCCAAAACGGGCAGCGTGCGATCGGCGGAGCTGAACAGGGTAACGCGCACACACAAAGAAAGACACACACACACAGACACACACGCAGGCACACACAAACACGCACACACACACACAAGCACACACACACACATACTCACGCACACACACACCCACACAAACACACACGCACACACACAAACACACACACACACACATACAGGCACACGCACACACAAACACACACACACGTACACACACACACACACACAGACACGCACGCACGCACGCACGCACGCACACACACACACACACACACACACACACACACACACACACACACACACACACACACACACACACACACACGCATTGGGCTAACGCGAGCCGCCCCGGGTCGGAAGAAAAGGGAGGCCAGTATTGTGGAATTCTTCACTGCGTCCATCTAATATTTGGGGCGCCGCTTCGACATATTGAGGATGCGGGGCACTGACGCAAATGATCTTCATTATAGCGGCACCGCTGTTGGCGAATCCTCAATTCAGTGCCCTCGGTGCGCGATCGAGATTGGCCAAAAAGCTGGCATTATAGTCGATTGCCAGCGACAACTATTACTCGCATTGTTCAAATCGGCGGTGGCGTCGTAACAACTGCCGCACAGACCCAAGTTGCCCCCCCAAAAACAAACAAAACCGCCGCCGCGTTTGCAGCCACTGGCGTGCGCTGGGCCCTCGCTCCCATTGCTGCCGCTTCTTACGAAGCAATAGTGAAATTCGCCCCGGCGCACCCAGCCCAACACGAACTCGTCACAGTTGCTCCAAGTACCTGCGTCGTGGGCCCCCATGGCAGAGAAATGCCCCCAAAAACAACAAACATAGGGGTGGGCGCTCCCCCCGCGCCCCGGGGCGCATGCGCGGCCGCCGCGCCCCGCTCCCTCGCCGCCATCGCGACCTCGACAAGGTTCCCACAAAGATCAGGATGACCCCAGGTGGGTCGTCCATCATTCAATGTTTGGCGTTCACTGTCTATGGGAAGGGACGGGGTATGAGGTACTGTACTCCGCAAGCACAATCCACGGTGCGCAATTCGGGAAACCAAAAGGTACCGATACCGCTACTCCCCGGACCTCTCCCGGGGGGCGTTCTGACCATGATATCAAGCGAATCCAGCGGTGGCGACGAGGGTCTCTCAGGAAACCCAGAAAGGGGAAAACGAGGAAAGGGTAGTGGTATGGGTACCTTTTCCTCCTCTGAGCAATGGCAAATAAGGCGCGCATGCCTTTCGGCACCCGACTCCAGATGGCGACGAGAAGGCGCGATATAAACCAATCTTGAAAACATGGGCGCGCATCGAGCGCGAATCTAAACAAACACTTGTTCACAAGCGCGAAGAAGCCCTGTGGCGAGGAGGGGCAGGGGAGGAAGGCGGGAGAGGAGCGCGCCCCAGCACGCGCCCAGGCGAATTTGCCTGAATGAATCGGGCGCCCCCGGCCGCTCAACGAGGCGAATCTAAACAAGCACTGTAATGACAGCAACAATGTGAAACAAGGCGACGAGCATTGATGCCCGTGCCAGCGCAGCTCGGACGACACGGTCGTTCTCGGCAATTGCTCAAACATGCGAACCATATGAGATTCAGCAATGGCGCTTCTGATCCAGAATTCGCAAACTACGACATCGTATCACAATGAAGATGGCAGCCGATAAATGGGATTGCATCACCGTTGAGCTGCTTCGCGCAAAAAAGGAAGCGCGCGCGCATTGGCGACAAGACAAACTAAGCGAATGCCGTGCTCAACACGTGAGGGTACAATCCTCCCCCAAACCAGGTCGGTGGAGAAGCGTGCTCAACCAACAGGAGCACAACAGCAACAGATTCGATTCATTGTTGGGCCACGCTCGCAGTAGCCTCTGCTTGTGAGCCTTTCTTCTTCGGTGTTTCGACATTGGGCGGGAAAGGGGGGAGGGGAAAGGGGGGGTCTGGCTCCAGACCTCTGCTTACTGCAACTGGTTGCAACAATGCGTCCTATGGGGGCGGCCACACCTGCTCGAAACAGGCGCCAACAACAGCAAAGATCAACTCCAAGGGGGGGGGTGAGGGCCCGTGCCGATCGGCAAAACAATGAATCAGAAAACGACCACCTCAAGCTCGCGTCCGGACTTCCCTTTTTCCTGAGCGCCTTTTCAAGCAACAGCCCTCTGTCAACGCTATTTCTATCATGTCCGTATGTAAGTATGTCTCGCGCGCCGTGACACTGTATAACTGGCATGTACGACACTACCGTATCGCACCCAACTAAGCTTGCCCGATAATTAACGCACGCTCGGTTGGCATTTTCAAATCCTGACTCGATAACGATTAGCATGCCAACGACACTTTAAGGATCACCCGCCTAATTCTCGAAGGTTTCGGAAAACTTCCGGCGTCAACAGACAAGACTTTAATTCGTGTGGGACAATCAGGGTCGAGTGGCATTGGTTTAGGCAGTGAAATGCTGCAAGCTCTTTAATCGCACATCCCGATCGAACTTGCAACCGATGATATGTGCTCACTACATCAAATATAATCATATGTTCCGTCGCCGGTAATTTTTCTGCAGTCCAGATCGATACAAATATCAACTACCCCTGAACTCCTCCCATAGTAAAACCTTGGGTCAATTACGAAGACCGTCGTCACAGCGTCGGGCCCCTAATCCGCCGGCCCCCTTGCGAGGCCATCAGGCTGCGAAGATTAGGCTTGCAGCTCCCTATACCAGTTGCAGTTTCCAGTTTCCACTGTTGCAGTCCTGCTTTCTGCTTCCTTACTGTTAATTGTTGCTGAACGCGCAGGGGGGGAGCCAAAAAGCGTGCTGGTTAGCGTCCCCGGATCGCGTTGTCTGAATTCCCGGGGGGTCGTGGGACACATGAAAATACTTGGTATTCGCGACCCCGAAGCCATAATCCATAGCAAATTACACCGTATTCGCCTCTCCGAAGCAATAACCCTTTGTAAATTACACCATCTTTGGGTCCCCGAAGCCACAAACCCCAGTGAATTCCACCATGTTCGCGTCCCCGAATGCCAAAAAAAACCGTTTGAGATTACAAGTTTCGCGCCCCCGACACAATAAACCCTAGTAAATTACGGAATACTTGCGCCCACATAATATTTGCGGCCCCAGGGCCATAAACCCTCGTAGTTTACACCATGATTGCGTCCCCGAAGCAACAAACCCTCGCAAAGTATACAATATTCGCGTCCCCGAAGCCAGAAACCCTTATACATCATACACTAGTAGCGCCCCCGAGGCCATAAACCCTAGTAGCTTACGCATCCTTTGCGTCCCCGTGGCGACAAAACACCGTAAATTACAGCATGCTGGCGTCCCCGAAGCCATAAACCGTAGTAGAATATACAAGGTTCGCGTCGCCGAAACCATAAAGCCTCATAAAATTATATTGGCCATCGCGTGAAGTCCCGTCATTGCTTCGCGTCAGCGACCAGACATCCCAACACAGCTCTGGCAAGTCCCATTCTAAGGGAGGGGGGCCAGCGCGGCATGAGGGCGAAACCCTCACGGATTTGGTTGTGAGTGGGCTTTTGCACACCAAGGGCCTAATTTGCATGCGGGGCGAATAAGCAAGTGCCCCCCCCGTGGGGTGGCGAGCATGTATAATGCAATACTGAAAGCCTCGATCTTAGGCGTTGCTCCCCACCCGAATCAGCATGTGCGTTCCGACTCAATGTCTTGTTGTACTCATCATGGCCATGCACTGCATCTCCGTCTGTCTCTTCAGGTCATGTCACTGAACAGCTGGCATACGAAAGCTCGCTCAACCTAGAAATTCCACATGCGCCCTCCACTTGTTCGACATAATGGACACTGTGTTTCTACAGGCCTGTCACATGTATGTGATGTGCATGCGTTGTTGCCAAGAGTTCGTACTCGATGTTAAACTACTGGACAAAACTTGTGGGCTGGAGATCAATGTTACAAGCTGTGCTTCATAGCTTCAGGGAGAATCAGGCACTGGAGTCAGGGGCGACTTTCGACGCAATGGCCAAATCCTGGAAGAGCACGAAGAGCGCCTGGGCACTACCAGAAGGCAGCTTGAATGACGGCATGCGTCCTGCTCCCCTGTGGTTTCCGCCAGCTCGGCATAGGTCAGCCCTTTCAGGAATGTCTTATCGATGCCCATGGAAATTAACACCCAATCGGGATGGATAGCCGACCCGCTAGCCAAGCGGCGCTGCGAAGTTCGGCGCGCCGTGCCAGAAACTGTTTCAACATCGAAGGATCCATGATCCATGAAACCTGGAGGTGCCATAAGAAGCCGCATGGCACGAAACATCTGGCCGCCCGCTCCTGCAATGAACGCCCAGTGATAGGCATAACGAAAGGTCATGAAGTAACAGGCCTTCTTGTGTCATCGAGCATTGGTTGCCGATCCAGATTCCCAATCCACTGAACAAAACGTCGGGGACCTGCTAGAAGAAATGTTCAATGCCCCCCGTCGCCAAAAAATCGTTTTCCTTGACGATTGTGGCCCGCGTTGTTATCGCAACAAACGCGCATGCTCTCAAAACAACAACACCGTCATGGTCAAGTACTTCCGCGTTCGTTGTCAAGTCGTCTTATTGCGGAAACCCTAAGAAATATTTTTGGCCATGCCTGGTAAGAAGAACTCCTCCGTGCGTCTCCCGTGGCCGTCTGTTTCCAAGGCGTAGTCCTCGCCAAGGTCAGAGGGCCAACACTGCGCAGCGCATTCCTCTGGGCCCTCCCGCGGGTCTCCAGGCCCATCGTTCCAGACATAGTCCAGCGCGCAATCATCTGCAGCCATGTTCACGGGCAGTACAATGGTCAACAACGTCCTCAAGCGCCGCCT